CCACAATTTGAAATGCCAAATTAATGTCTCTTCCGGTTTCTACAACTGACATCTACTCACTTTAGGGATTAGTTGAAATTAGAGATGGGAAAGACCTATTAAGACATCTGGTTCTAGTCCATACTCCAGACAGTGCAGGATTGTTCCCTATTGTTATTTAGCTCTCTGGATGCAGTTGGGCGGTGAACTCCAAACAGATGACTCTGACTGCTACTTAGGTTCACAAATGCTCCACAAAACCAATGATATACCTGAGAGATGTCAATGATCTTTTCATCCTCTGGACCAACGACCTAAACTCCCTCATAGATTCCCACCACAGATTCAACGACCACCACCCCTCCATTCAACTCTCTCTGGAACACCGCCACACCAGCACCAACTTCCTGAATATCGCGATCCACTTCAACGATGGAACTCTACAGACAACTACATACAAGAAACCCATGATCACCACATCTGCTTTCGTAGATCCAGTAACTACCCTAAACACACCAAGAAATCGGTTATCTACAGCCAGGCACTCCAAGGAGAAAGTCCGAGATACACCTTAACACACTCAAAACCGCCTTCACCAAACAGGGACACTCCACCAGAGAAGTTGATCGCAGCATGCAACAGGCCACCCAAATATCCCAAGAGAACGTGCTTCAATTCAGAAATAAAACCTCCTCCAGCCGCACACCTGTAGTTGTCACCTACCCCCCACCCACACACACTGGAACCCATACGGGCTATCATCAAACTACTTCAACCCATACTCGATGAAGACCCCATCCTGAAAGAAATCTTCCCTTAGCCCCCTCTTCTGGCCTTCAAACAAGCCCCCAACCTCTCCAAGCTCATCATCACAAGCAAGCTCCCCAGACCAGGACACACCAACTCAAAGTACCACCAGACACTGCCAGAACAACAGCTGCAAAACCTGCAGGCATATCTCCACTGCTACAGTGATCAACACACACACGCACACACACACACACACACACACACACACACACACACACACACACACACACACACACACACTACTACTA